ATATTGGGCCCTATGGCAGCTAGGGATGTAAGAGAGTAGTTGACTACCCGATAAGCCTAGGCTTATCAGGTAGTCGAGTCAAGTCCTTGTATTCCCCCCTCCCTCCCAACAGACACACACTTGATGCGTCTGATGCAAGAGAGCAAGAGCCGGTGCTGGGGGGAGCCAGTTTAAAAGCCTCCATGATGCCGCCTGACCCCCACCTGGCTGCTACCTCTAGGAGAGGCAGCAGTGCAAGGAGAGAGCAGGGGAGATTGCTGCGAAGCAGCCTCTGCTCACAGTGGGCCCAAGCTCAACACAGGCAGAGGCTGCTTCGGCATCAGCCCCTATCTGCAGTGGTCCCAGAGGGGAAGGGGGACCCCTTGCGGACAGGGGCTGCTTTGACTGGGCAGGTCGTCCAAGAACCACCCGTGTCATGGCTTTGCAGTTTAAATGTACTAAGAGCTGGGTGGGAAGGCATCCCGACTCTTAGTACATTTAAACCACAGAGTCACAGTGGGGATAGATCCTGGACCTGGCTCTAGCCAGGACTGAGCCAGGCATGCTCAGTCCAGGTTTGTGCTGGTTCTGGGATCTACCTCTGCTGCACCTCTGCAGTGTAAATGTAGTAGGAGCTGGGCTGCCTGTGCGCCCGGCTCCTACCACATTTAAACTCAGAGACACTGTGGGAGGGAGGGGTAGGTCCCAGACCTGGCACGAGCCAGGACTGTGTGCCTTCCCTTATCGACTAATTGTGTAGTCAGTGGAATTTGTATTGACTACATGATTAGCCAATTACCCACGTCTTAACATTCTTATTGGTGGCATATACATACCTGGTCCGCCATTCCAGGCTCCACATGAGGCTGCTCCAGCACTGGCTGATGTCAGCTTACTCCCAGTCCCGGGACCACTTGGACAAGGTTGTCCCGATCCCCTTGCAAGTACTTAAACCTAAAGTTTAACAGGTTAACTAATTAAGCAGGATTTTACATCCCTAGTCTTGATAAGTCTTTGTTGTCTTGCAATGCAAAACTGTTTGATCAGATCTAGAAAAGTACTGGAATGCAGTTAGAATTCAGAGAGGGCGAGAATACTCTATATTCCTCTTTGCAGAGAGAGCTTTTTAAAAAGCAAGGTGCTGCTGTACAGGCTGAAAACTACAGTATGTGCAAAAATGGGGCGAGGAGGCTTTTTGTTAGGACAAAATAATGCCATGCTTATTTGGCTAGATAAGGGCAAGAAGAAGGAGAAAAAAAATGAGGTGGTCTGGCTAGCTGGACAAAGGTGAGAAATATAAAACTTACTCTGAAATGCTATATTCACGGTCTTTGAGAGGTGGTTTTTGTTGATGTTAGAGTTGAGTCCCTGTGTAGTGTAAATGAAGAATTTACACTGAGCACGGTAGTAGTTGATTATTCACAAGCATCTGTAGAAAATAAGACCGTCACTGCTGAGTATGTGTACAAATCCTATTAGAGACATGACAGCATTTTCAGAGAAGATTGACATGTTTAAATTATAGTCTGGCAAAGTGGCTTTGTCCTAACCAGCTGTCTCTTACTTATCTAGATATTGAAGCACCATAAAGGCATATCAAAATATTGCAGTAGCACTGCTGAAACAAATACCTTTTTGTTTTAGTTCTTCTAGCCACACTCCTACTATGTTTCTTTGTCCAATCCCCTCCAAACTGCCATCTGCCATCAATAGACAGAAGCAATACCATTGAGCTATACAATCCAGATATACACCTGTAAATTCTGTCTCTTTTTCCTTATGTCATCCCTGCCATGTGAGGGGTTGCTTTTTTGGAATGGGGACTACTGACCCACAGAAAAATCAGTCAGGGGCCACACACAAGTGAAAAGCAAATAAATAAACCACAATCCTCACTCACTTGGCCCCCATGTGAGAAAAAGTAAACCCTCACAGACTCAGCTAATGGAAGTGACAGGGGGTGGTACCTGCACAGAACACTTCTATGCTGTGTGCAGAGCTGCACGGAGCTGCTTCCTTCCCCTGTCAGTCAGAACCCATGGGCCAAATCTGGCCCCGGCTTGGCTGTATTGGGTCCCATCTTGGCTGGATTAGGTCCATGGGGTAGAGGGGAGAGGGAGGAGTGATTGAGTTCCAGTAATCCTGGGTGAGCCCCAAACCTTACAGGCTGGATCAAGGCAAGCTGAGGGCTGGATCCTGCGCTTGGGCCATAGGTTTCCCACCCCTGGGCTAAACTAAGATTATTTAATGCCACTTGTAGTCAAAGAAGGTATCTTTATAGCCAACACTTATCTCCTTTAGCAGTCACAGACCCCCTCCCCCCTGCTTCCCCATCATGAGTGAGAACTTGCAGAGTCCATGGAGCACCACCACTCTCTGGTGTACAAGTCTTTGAAGAGAAACCACTCTTACAAGCAACCACTGTTACTTACTCTCATGAGTTACTTACGCTCTTGAGAGGCTTTATTGTACTGGTTTTTCTGTTTTCTAGGAGTATTTGAGAAGGATAAAGTTTATTAGTTTCATCTCTTTGCTGCTGAGGAATTAGTGGAATGACAATATTATTTCAAATGTGATGCTGCAAAATGCTCAAGATGCCTCTTTTATCATCATGCTGCTGTCTGATCAGTGCTCGTGTTCCAGCAGAAATAATGCCTGTTTCTGAAGTGTAATTTATATATTCCACGAAGATGAGAAACAACTTAAATTGCACGGGGCAAATGGCACAAATGTTGCTGCCCTAAAATAAATGTACTTCACTCTTATGTAGGATACTTACTAAGTGGAGCGTTACAGAATGGTATGGTCTGGTGAGTAGAGCAGAAAACTAAGCATCAGGACTCTTGCAGCCTTATTTTTTGGGAGTTCTTAGACTAACTTGCAGAAGAACTGTTCAGCACCTGAAGAATTAGGCCAAAGAGATCTTTTCCGAAGTTCTTTCAGTAATTCACTTTAAGGCTTGGACCAGTCATCCTAAGCCAAAATGTTCAATGAAAACTGCAGGTGTTCATCAGGGCTAATTTTTTGAACATAAGGATTGTCTTTCATTGCTGTGAGTTTCAGCATAGCCCTTTCTACCTTTAGCAAAGCCTCAAAATTTTCTGCTCAACAAAATGAGAGACTTCAGCCTGAGCGGTGATTAAATTTTCCATCCATCTCTATTCATGTGCTGTTTAATTGGCCCAGTGTATTGCACCTTTATTATAGTATTATTGTAATAAGAAAATGATAGTAAATCAAAGGGGAAGCGATCATTTAGAAAGAAGATCTTGCAAAGATTCTGCTTCAACAGAATTTACCGGGGGAGGAAGGGGGAATATATGGGCAATGACGTCCTCAGCAATCCTGTAGTCCTTCATGCATGTGTAACAGCCTGAAAGAAGCTTAGTCACATGAGATGTCTTTTGAACTTGCTTATTACACAACTTTCAGAGGCCACCCTGTGCTTTGATAGAAACAGAACTATGAATGGTATAGAAGGTGGCAGAGTGTATCATGAGCAGACAGACATAATGAAAAACATCTGTGGACATGATAGAGGATTTTTATGGGTCTTTGCTGCAAAGAGACCACTATTATGCCTGCCAGATGAAAACACCAGTCTGAGCAAGACATCATGCTTAATTATTTATTTTTGCTGCAGTTTTGACTTAGATGGCAGTTTTCTCTATTTTTTCCTCCTTCATTATCTCATAGTTGAGTTCACTATCATTATCATCACAGCTTTGCTCTCATGCTGCTCCAAGTGTGGCTTTACACAGGACTCTCATTAGCTACTTCTTAGGGTTGGATTGTGAGGCAGACAGCATTTCTGTGCACAACTCAGTGAAATGCTCTGCTTTACTGGTACTGGCTTTATCAGACTTGAAATGCCTGTGATGAAAAGTTGCAGTTAAATCGCTCACATACCTTCACAGAGGCTAACTTTACATGCAATGGAGTCAATGTCCAAAAGCTTTGAGCAAATTGCAGTCATGTGCTGCTGAGATCAGTCATTAGATGAAAACAATGGGTAGTGTCCTCACTGTTCATTGGATGGGGTCCAAAGCAGCACTGTTCAATCTGTGTGGCGTGATGCTGCATTGAATTCTCATCCTGAGAACAAAAGTTTGATTAGTATCCCAAAGTTGCTCACTCTTTTTACCAGAAATACATCTTGAACTGGCCATGCAGTGTGTGTGTGTGTGTTAGGATGGGTATTCCTCTTGACTTTGGCAGCTGTTATGTCTGATTCCTATGAGGAGCTGCTGGAAGATTGTTCTTCAGTCTATACAAAATCCAAGCATAGTTTTATCCGGGTGTGTGGCAAAGGAGGGTGGAAGAGATCAGGAGGTGCACACATGACATTATTCCCTCTCTTGATGAGCAAGTTGGCCATGCCCCTATCCCCTCCTTTCCTGCTCTCCTGATGTGCAGATCTGCCAGGGGAACAGATGCTGTGCTCTGTAAGAATTGTTGTAAAATATTCCTTTACCGACAATTGACCTAGGAGGCCAACAGGAGAGAAATTGAGTGTATCTCAGATACAGTGGCATAGATTCCACAACTTCCCCTTGCCGTGGAAGGCTGTGCTGAGGGGCAAAGTTCATCCCCTGATAAGCAGTAATAATACTCTAGCTTTGGTGAGGTGTAGTGGCTCTAACACTAGTATTTAGCCCAGTCCACAGCTTTCCATAAACTACTGTGCAGATAGATGTCTGTTTTAAAAATGAATATAGGAATACTTTTATGAATATCTTCAACTTTAAGGGAATATATAGATTAATAAAAAGCTGTTGGGAAAGTGCAATTGGAGAAACTATTAGTAGAGGCTATATTCATATCTATGGGCTTCGAATTATATAAAAAAAACCATAAAAGCTTCAGCCGTGTTATGTGCTATTTTCTTGTTAGTATTTTCTCTGTGCAAATCTGTCAGCACTTTACATAAAAGAACTAAAAATCCCTTTTCAACATATGGCTTTGCATCTATACAGGGAGGCAGGTTTTTTAGAAAAATAACCAATTGTTTTTGTTAATAGAGTTTGAGAGATTGAATTGAAAATGTCTAGCAAAACAACTATCACAACAAACAATATAACTCAAGCACGAAGGACTGTACAGCAGTTAAGAATAGAAGCTTCCATTGAAAGAATAAAGGTGAGAAACACATTCTTATTGATCCTTCTCTTTTTTTTATATGAATTATATGAAATACAGCAGGTATATTTTTAGTAAACTCCCAGTATATATGTATATATTTTCTTATGTAGTATGTAACACAGGAGCTATATTTGAATGTGATAGTTTCATTTATATTTGTTGTACTGAATTTCACTGATTATTTATTGTTGCCATACCAAAAAATTGCACCAATAATATGACAGGTACTTTACGGACATTTAGGAAGACCAAATCCTTGACATTGTGAGTTCATACAGACATAGTGGGTAGAAGAGGTAATATGATGTAGAGCAGTTTTTTTTTTCCAAGTGGGTATGTTAGTTTTAGATGTTTAAATTTTACCTTATATGTCAAGGATTTATAGCTCTCATGAAAGAGGAAGAGAGGTGAGACATGGTGCACCTCAGTTATGGTGGATAAGGAGCCCGAACTCTTCCCTCTTTTTTCTCCACGCCACCCAATGGCTAAGGAATTTGATTAAGTTAAAACCTCACCTAAGATTTTGAGGGGAGGGATTTGTTGTTCTAACTATACCATTTCATCCCTTTATTTTCCATTTTATTAATATTTATCTGCAGTCTACCAGTTGTCCAAAGGTCAGCAGACTGGTTACAGTAACTCCTTGCTTAACATTATGATTGTGTTCCTTAAAAATGCCTGCTTTAAATGAAATGATATTAAACTGCTGCCAGTCCACCTTGGTTCCAAATCCCCACAAGGACAGGCTGCTTTTCCAAAAAATCTTGCAAATAGTGGATAAAACAAGAGGCCAAATGACATTGTAGGGGGGAGCATTGCACAACTTTAAATGAGCATGTGCTCTAATAGATAATAATCAGCATAACAATGAAACAGTGTCAACCGGGACAACGTTAAGTGAGGAGTTACTGTACTTCAGTGGACATAGATGCTTTTCTTATAATCAGCTATTGATTAGGAACATGCAATGTTTTACAAGGATTTGGAAACAGTTGAATCAGTTTCTTAGAAACTGTAAGTCAATTGATGACACTTCAGTGGTTATTAACAGAGTCTAAAGACATAAAATCTTTTTATTTGATGCCTGCTCTATTGTTCTGTACCTGTTATGTGAATTGCAGAAAAATGTAAAGCAACTCGCACCTATCCTCCCAAACAAACCCCAAAGTACCTTTAAAGAAATGGCATCCTGGCTTATCCTTGTTTTTGCTTACTGCTTTCCCATTCTACCAAGTTTACCAAGGCCAGTCCAAGAAGCAAAGCCAGAAAACCTTTGCACTTTGCTCAGTGGACTTAGCTCTGGACCTGAATATTTTATGGATTTCTCAAACTCTGTTCTTCCATATGCAGAACTAATTCATTGTAGCTGTGGATGTATCCTTTAGTCCATTCTATCCTATTGGAAATGATTTGGGAATATTTACCATTTTGTGTCTTGTTTTTTTTTGTTTTGTTTTGGGTCAGGTGTCCAAAGCATCAGCAGATCTCATGTGCTATTGTGAAGAACATGCCAAGAAAGACCCTTTACTAATGGGCATACCTGCTTCTGAAAACCCTTTCAAGGATAAAAAAACATGTATTATATTATAGCAGAGTAGTAAGTACCTTCATAGCTTTTCTAAGCAAAATAAGCTACAAGCAAATTCTTAGAAAAATTATCTTATGGTCACTGCTGGTGTCAACTGTTGTAAAACAGCCATGTATTTACCATGTGTGTAAATGAATTTTTAAGCTTTCTAATTTTTTTCCTGATGGCATCCTGAGTGGGGAGGAAGATAATAAATTAAATGTATCCATCCTATAAATGGAATGGGATCTGTGTTATGCAGCTGGTAAGTCTCTTGTGTTGACTTTTATATAAGGCAAGATCGACACTGTGGGCTTATACTGGTATAACTGTGTTACTCAGGATGTGAAAAATCCTTGCCTCTGAGTGATACAGTTTTATCAGCCTAACCCCCTGGAGAGACAGCACACAGGAGAAGCTGTTCCATCAGCATAGGAGGGTCTTCACTAAAGTGATTTGTTCCAGCACTGTTTGTGAAAACAGCTCTAAGGAGAGAGGGTTGGATGAGGTGAAGGTCTTTTTTTCTTAAATGTGTAATATCTGCATTTCAGTTTAAGGTATTAGGCTGTACAATCAAGACCAAAATTGCCTGACTTTACCTACAAATCAGCAAGGTAAACAAATAATTTGACTCTTAATCAAGATTAACTTACTGTATTTTTTTAAAAGTGTATTTGTATACAATTGGTGTGTTAGTTCTGTGTGTGCGTGTGTTTATACACACACACACACAAACACACACTCCAAAGTTCATTCTCTGACAAAAGACACCTTGCAAACAACTGCTGCAATTAATGATAAATGCCAGAGGTTCATGCCTTTACCTTAAGTTATGTCTTAATTCTTTTTTTAAAATGAATTTTGTTTTTGTCAAGAATCAATAGATTTCTGAAATTTTTCATTTTGGAGAGGGTGTTAAATAAAAGAGAATTTTAGTTTTTTCATTCTGCCCCTCTATATTTTTCTCCTCAAATTATGATCAATATAGCTCCCTTAATAGGGCTACAGTAAGACTCAAATGCTTTGGAACTAGCATGTCTCTTGCCCTACTGCTAAGAAGATGAGAGGGGAGGGAAGATTCTTTTACTCTGAGCCATCTAGGTCACCTGTGTATGTATCATTTAGTTTTTGTGCAGTGATCCTGGATTTGGCTTTTTTAATTATTGAATTCACCTTTTTTTAAGGAAAAAGAAACCTAATCCTAACCAGATTATAATCAAACATGTAATTAGAAGGCCTTTTCAAAACATCACTCGTACAAATAGTGTTGTATATTGATGGAATAAGTGTGTGGAAAGAAAGCAATATTGACTTTTAGCAGGCTACCAATGTAGGGTTTTGTTGTGTTTTTCTAGAGTCATGTGTACAATGCCTGAAACTGTGATCTGTAATGATATTTACAGATCTTATTAACCACTTGTAATTTACTGTTTTATGTTGCATGTTTGTCTAATTCTGTATTAAATTATATAAACACTGTTAATAATATATTGAGACATTATATTGTTTTTAACAAACCTCCTTACAAAAATCTAAATTTGAGACTTCCAATAAGAAAAATAAATGCACTGGTTATTCTGTGCTGACATTCAAATTATTTTTATAATTAGAATATTTTTCTAATAACAGTTTCAAAATAATAATCTAGATTTTCACTATGATTTTTTTTACCATGTTGTCTTATCAGTTTTATAATGCATCTTGTTATAAATAGTAACTAACTTGGCTATATACTTTCAGAACTGAGCTATTAGAAGCAATCAAAGTGTATTTCTTCAGTTCTGTAATATCCTGGGTTTTTTAAAAATAACATTTTACAACCCAAATATTGCTCTTCTGTTGATCTATTATGGCCCATGTTATCTGGAATTTGTGGCTAAATGTTTGATCTATTTAGAACCCAAATGAATTTATGAAAATGTAACACATACAAATATGGAGATGCAAATGTCATATTGATACCTGACACTTTCTCTTTGGCCTTTTCTGAGCTGTTGGATTATGATCCTTCTTACTATTGTTGGGTCAGCCTATATTTGGATAAATTAGAGTTTTGCACACTTGTGTTGTAACCACTTACACAGCATTGAGTAATGACTTTATCAGTAGACTTTTTAACATAGATTTTTTTATTTGAATCCATGAATCCATTTTGACCAGTTACTATTTCATATCACATCTACACGGTGTTTTTAAAACCAGAGTAATAAGTGCTATGATTATGTTTTTTAAATTTGGTGAATCAAAAATATATAAAGGATACATTTTAAAGTATTTTCACAAATGTTGCCATAAAACAGATGCTATTGGAAATATTTTCATAAACAACTGGAACATGACTCAGTTCCCTTCCCATTGAAGTCAATGAGAATTTTGCCATTGACTTCAGTGGGAGTATGATGAGAGTTAAGGTAACTAGCATACTGTACTTGTAAGTATTTGCAAATGTCATCAGAATATTAGGATTCTAAATATTTGTTGTGCCACAATATGTTCCTGTTTTTAAAGGATGTATTAATAGTTCTCTATTCATTCCTCTTTAATGAAGTATATTTTTCTACTTTTTTCATACCCTTTTGACATCTTTAAAAGCCAGGACAAAATTTATAGCAGCAGCTATTTAATTCTTATTTATAAATATGCATTTAAATAGCAAAAGGGTTTTCTTAGAACATGATTGCCCTTATAACCACATATGTATGATTAGAAATAGAGCAAATCATGTGCCAACTTCTTTCAGATGCCTTATAATTTTTAGTCTAAACACATAGAAACTACAACTAAAATAATAAAATAAATCTTACTGCTTCTGATTACTTTTGTTGTATACATTTTAAATAAACTTTCTGTGTATTGTATTTTAAACACAATATGTAATGTAATCTGAAGATTCAAACAGCTACTCTTGTTTTTATATTACTCTTAAATTATAAAATGCAGTATAAGTAGACTTTTTGTGTGATAAACTTGTGAAGAAAATGAGTCATGCAGATTTGGGAAGAATTGTGAAGATACATGGACTTTCTAGTTAGTGAGATGAAATAATGAAAACAAAACCACCCCAGTTTCATAGCTGTTGAAATATTGGAGGTTTCAGGAATGATTTTCAGCAAGGCTAGCTAAACAGAACAACTGTACCACAATACTGCAACTTGGTGCTCTGAGTGCAGATACCTCAAATATAAAATCTGTGTGATGTAAAATGAACCTGATATTATTCCAGAAAGTATTTTAGGGCTCTTTTACTTAAACTAAGAGGCCTGTTTGCTTGTTTCCCCCCTCTGGATTTACTAATTTGATTGTTTTAATACTGTGTTGTTTTATATTGCCACTGTAACTTCAGATTGACATGAATTTTGTCAAACTGATTTAACTTGGACTTACAAATGGCTTTATGAAATTATTTCGTTTTCTTTAACATGTTTTTGTCATTCATCAGTGAACCTCTTAAAGTAGTTCATTGTGTGGAAGATGGCTTCTTATAGCAATGAGAGAAAAAAATGTTAACTAAGAGAATTCGATGGATGGATAACTTGTTCAATATCATGGATATGAAACACGTTATTAAAAATATCACTGCTTTGTATATTGTTTCAGCTTGTCATTGTAGTTCAGTTCACTCTCCAATGTACAGGACATGTTGAGGAACTATACAAATGTCTGTCATCCTAAGGGTCTGAAGGCTTATCAGTTCAATGGTATCAAATACTGACAAAGACAGTGTTCTTAGAAGGACAGACAAGACATAAATTTGAGGAGGGAAAGAATGACACATGCTGTAGGTCAAATTCACTAAATACCAGGGTTTCAACTGGGAGAGTGGGCGGCTGTGAATATGCAGGGTTACTACCAGCTGTAATCTTATGTTCCAAATCTTAACTTTTTCTGTTTAAAAAAGTTTCCCCCTCATGGTTACTAAACCAAAAAAACTCTTCAAAATGTAGCATATGTAACAGAGACATCTGCCTGCTCATGCAGAGAACCTGAATTAAAAGCGCTGAGAGAAACTCAAACTGTGACTGTTCATCTCAAAAGAGTGTTAACTTAGTTGCTGAATGAGGGTAAATTTACATGTGACTGTTTTCGATCACTGTTGACCAAAGCTTGTAGGGAAGGGGAGGGAAGATCCTATTATGAAGATCTGTGTGCTGAACTTCAAGTGCCATTAATAGAGTGAGTGCTTCTCTGTATCACCCTTCCCAGCTCTATAATGGAGGAGAAACCAAGCCCATTGGCCCTGCAGAACCTAATAGGTATGTGCTCTCCAGTGAGGCAAAAGCAAGTCGTTGCCCAGGACTATATTAGGAACATCTGCACATTCTTCCAGCAAGTGGCATCTCAGGCTGTGTCTAGACTACATGCCTCTGTCGTCAGAGGCATGTAGATTAGACACATAGGCAAAGTCAAATGAAGCCGCGATTTAAATGATCACGGCTTCATTTAAATTTACATGGCTGGCGCCCTGAGCCGACAAACAGCTGATCAGCTGTTTGTCCGCTCAGCGCGATAGTCTGGATGCTCCTCTGCCGAAATCAAAGCCCTTGGGGTATGTCTACACTACCCCGCTAGTTCGAACTAGCGGGGGAATGTAGGCATACCGCACTTGCAAATGAAGCCCGGGAAATTCAAATCCCGGGCTTCATTTGCAAGTGCGGTATGCCTACATTCCCCCGCTAGTTCGAACTAGCGGGGGAATGTAGGCATACCGCACTTGCAAATGAAGCCCGGGAAATTCAAATCCCGGGCTTCATTTGCAAGTGCGGTATGCCTACATTCCCCCGCTAGTTCGAACTAGCGGGGGAATGTAGGCATACCGCACTTGCAAATGAAGCCCGGGAAATTCAAATCCCGGGCTTCATTTGCAAGTGCGGTATGCCTACATTCCCCCGCTAGTTCGAACTAGCGGGGTAGTGTAGACATACCCCAAGGGCTTTGATTTCGGCAGAGGAGCATCCAGACTATCGCGCTGAGCGGACAAACAGCTGATCAGCTGTTTGTCGGCTCAGTGCGGCAGCCATGTAAATTTAAATGAAGCCGCGATCATTTAAATCACGGCTTCATTTGACTTTGCCAAAACAACAAATCTACATGGCTCTGTCGACGGAGCCATGTAGTTTAGACGTACCCTCAAGTGGGCAGAGCTTGGAAGAGTACGACCATTTTATTTCTCCTGTTCTGCTCCATTGGGGTCAATGGAGTTGTGCCAGCCCACAATCAGTATTGCATTAGGATCTCTGATTCAAAAGCTCCCCTGGCTCAGAGGTACTTCTAACATGCTCAGTAGAGCATGGGAGCTAACTCCGCTGTAGCTCTGCCTTTTAAATGTATTAAGAGTCACCAGGCTCTTAATATATTTTAAAAGCAGAGGTGCAGTGTCTGGGACCAGGCATGAGCCGGGAATCATCTGATTCCTGGCTTGCGCCCAGTCCCCCACTACGCCTCTGCCTCTCCTGACCCCCGAGATGGTGCTGGGGGAACCAGCTTTTAAGCTGGCTCCCCCAGCACCAGCTTCTGTTCCCCCACTTGTTGCCTGCCTCTGATAGAGGCAGAAGGGGTGGGGGGAAGCAACTAGTCGAGTCACTAGTTGAGTCATATGCATATCGGGTAGTCAACTAGTCACTAACATCCCTAGTTTTAATACAGTAGAAACTCAAAATTACAAATAGTTACAAACTGAACCAATCAACCACACACCTTATTTGGAAATGGAATTATGAAATCAGGCAGAGAAAGAAAAACAAAACCAAACACAGTACAGTACTGTTTTAAACGTAAACTACTAAAAACAGATAGAGGGAAAGCAGCATTTTTCTTCTGCATACTAAAGTTTCAAAATTATAGTAAGTCAATGTTCAGTTGTAAACTTTCAAAAGAACTACAGTGCTTTGTTCAAAGTTATGAACATTTCAGAGTTAAATACGACTTCTGTTCCGAAGGTGTTCATAACTCTGAGGTTCTTCTGTAACTTAGATAGAATTTGAGGCTATAATTTTTTATTCCTGATTATCCTATGTGAGTGTGATCTGTCTCTGACACACTCAAAATGAGCAGGTAGATATGATGATTTTGTTTGGCCCAAGTATTGGGAGCACCAATGTGCAAATCTTCCTAACTGAGTGCCAGTGTCAAACCCCTCAGGAGTTTTGTTAATTTCACATATTTTACTGAAAAAATTGGTTGTGGTACTTGTTATTAAAAACCCTTAAAAAGATAACAAGGAGTCTTGTGGCATTAAAAACTAACTGATTTATTGGGAAATAGTCTTGTAGCACCCGAGACACTAACAAAACATGTAGATGATATCATGAGCTTTTGTGGACGCAACCCACTTCTTCAGATGAATGAAGTACAACAACAACATGTGCCCACGAAAGCTCATGACAAAATCTACATGTTTCTTTAGTCTCTAAGGTGCTACAAGACTATTCGTTGTTTTTAAGTTTTTCCATTTACAGACTAACATGGCTACCCTTCTGAAGCATTTGATTTATTTGGGATAAGCTTTTGTGAATAAAGCCACTTCATCAAATGCATGGCCCACTTTAGAAATCATATGGGGGGAAAAAGGGGAGGGAGAGAGTGAAAACTTGGCTCCATTGACACATCTAAGCTTCTGACATAGCTTTCTGGAGTAAGAGCCCTGAGCATGCCATGAAAGAGTTTAGAATTTCTACTGCTGTGAGCCAAAAGTTTTGGGTTTAGAATTTTGATACGTGCAATATACTTCACAAATACTACATCTAATAGCCCTTATGTAGGAGAAATACTTTCATTTAATGCATGGAAGTACAGCATGATTAAGTTGATCATTATAAATAAAAGAGGACTTTACAATTCTGCAGAAATAGTGCAAAATAGGTCTCTCGACCGTTCTTCCCACATGCTTACAGTTAGCAGTATTTTTAATAAGTTTCTTTCCCATTGTCACATAGTATGTCATGCATGGAATCAGCAAATTATGTCCATGAATATTGACTACCAGGATATAGCTAATGTGGTTCTTTATCATGAAAACCCTGGACTATATATTGCACCCACAACAGCAGAGATCAGTGGTTTCTGCTACCAAGGTCAACCTGGCCAGGTCAAGTTGGCAGCAATATCAGCTTTCTATTCCCAAGTGGATAATCATTCTATATTTTCTAATGATATGAGAAGTAGGCTTTAATCTTTTTGTTGAGGCTCATGGGGCCACTATTTGAGCCTTTGTGAATATGCTCCTTACTACATCTGTCTCTGAAGGTGGCTTTTCTAGTAGCTTTCACTTTATCCAAGAGAGTGGGCAAACTACATGCTCTGACATCCAAAAACTTTCTATGGTCTTTTTTAAGAATAACTGTACTTGCACCTTCAATGGAGATGTGTCTCTAAAGTGGTATCTAATTTTCATATTAATCAGTCAATTTACTTATGTGCATTTTGTCCCAAACCATATGCCAGTAGTGAGGAGCAACATCTGCATACCTTAGACAATAAAATGTCGGCATTCTACAGATATAGGACAATACAATATTGTTTGTCAGCCCAACAATGTGTGACTTTAGCAGACAGAATGAGGGGTCTCCTGGTCTTTTCACAAAGATTTCCATCTTGGATAACTTCCTGAATTCATGTTTGCTGCTGGGCAAACTGATGAGATATTGCACAAGACTGCAAGTGGCCTCAGGGGAGGTCCTTGCACAAGATGCAGAGCAGCAACCTGATCTTTAGTTTACATCTTCACATCCCATGATGCCATTATTCAGTATTCCAGAAACTATGCTAAATTTGGCCAAGTTGTACTACAGTATGGCTTTGTCTACACTGCTGAGTTTAAAGCACTGCTTTAATGTGGCAGTGTGGTGATGGTACCAGGGATGGCAGGTAAACCAGCACTTTAAGTAAACCAGCTCCATGAGGGAAGTAGCTAACAATGCTGGAAGCCTGTTTACACTGGTGCTCTACAATGCTGTAACTTGTTGCACTCAGGGTGTGTTTTTTCACACCCGTGAGCAAGAAAGTTACAGTGCGGTAAAGTGGAAATGTAGACAAACCCTCTGTGTGCATGTGAATTGCAATCCCTCCTCATACATTATAGCTAGTGAGTCAGCAGGAGTAGATGCACATGCACAACCACTCAGTGCAGAAAAAGCAGTTACTAATCTTTCGTAGCTGTTGTTCTTTGTGGTATGTTGCACATGCCCATTCCATGACCCACCCTTCTACAGTGGAGTTGTCCAGCAAAAAGGAAGTGAGGAAACCCAGAAACGATTAAGGCCCTTTATGTTGGAACGTAGCAACAGAGGGTTCCTGAGCTGCTCCCGATGGATACCACTGAGGAAAAAATTTCCAATGGCTATGCACGGGCAGTGTGCACACCAAGAGTGGAATAGATGTGTGCAGCACATCTCGAAGAATAACAGCTATGGAAGGTTAGTAACCATTTTCTCCATCTCCTCTGCTCAAACTCGGCTTTACCAAGAATTGGGAAAGGGCAACTCTTCTGTATCAGCAAAACTGCACAAGATTTAGGTAGTGACATGAATAACTTCTGTAATTGAAACTAGGTGGGAAATTTAGGATATTTTATATGTGATTATCAAACAACTAACTTGCACAGTCAACCCGTGGAACTCATTGTCAATGGATGTTGTGGAGGCCAAAAGTATAACTTCATTCAAAAAAGAATTAGAAAAGTTCATGGACGATAGACCAACAGATGGCTATTAGCAAAAATTAGTCAGGGACACCACCTCTTGCATTCAGTGTCCCTAAGCCTCTGACTGCCACAAGCTGAGACTGGATGACAGGGAATGGAGCAGTAAATAAATTGCTTTATTCTGTTCATTCCTTTTGAAGCATCTGGGCCATTCTCAGAAGCCAGGATACTGGGCTAGATGGAGCATTGGTCTGACCCCGTATGTTCATTCTTATGTTCTAACTCTGGGATAAAAGTCACTGGACATAGACTGGTTGTCCCCATATCCTTCAGATTTATGATTGGAGCAGATCTCACAGCACAAAGTTTTAAGATCTATGCTATTTTATTGTGCCTAGGCTTTTATTCTGTACCAATTGCCATGTTGTCTGGGCACTGTTAATATAAGACTTGAAATATATTACAATCTCTCCATGCCAGCTCATAGTGGTTTGGCACAGTTCAGAGTGTTCATATGCTTAACACACTGTCAGTCTTGTGCTATGGTTTGCTAATAATCACTACCAACAAAAAAGACAGTGTTACACCAGGTGAATGCTCCTAACAGTGCTGGACAAATTTGTGTTCACACCATTAGATTTGTTGTGTAGGTGGGTCTTCAATGCCTGATCAGGACAAAATGGAGATAGGGATTGTAGCTAATCTTTCAGAACCCAATTCCAACAGTAGTTACACCATTTACCTTATTGACTCAGGAATTCGCAACAAAAGGAACTGAGCCTGGGATTCAGAGTTGAAGAAAGATTAAAGATCCAGGAAACTATAATTTGCATATTTATAGATGCATATATTTAAGGGATGAATAAAATGTAATATCTACATTTCTGCTCCTAAGTAGCTCCAGCATAACAGGAAGAGAGGAGATTTTGAGATGGGCATGAGTTGGTGTGTATGGGGAAAATCTCTTAACACATTAAAGTCTTCATTGTGTATTTACTTTGAAATGCTGATAGTAAATTTAAATGCCACCATAAAGCAGCACAGCAGAATTTGAGAGAAAGTCAAACTAAAAATATTCTCCAAAAATTCCTTTTATTTGTCACTACTGCTGTGGAATAATTTACTCTTTACCCTTTCTGCTGTAAACTGATCAGTGTCACTTATGATTAGAATCACTGTCACATTCTGGTGATCTGCACATCTGTAATATGTGGGTTGCAAACAGTGCGGGGGAATGTTTAAATTGGAACTAAAAATTATTGGCCTTTTTTTTCAAAATGACAAAATGCTTCTATTAGCCTGGAAAAAAACTAGTAAATGGGGGCCATAAACATCCTTTTAGCTTTTTTATATTCCTGTAGCCACTAGAATCTTTAGTCATGGTCTACAACCCTAGTTTGTTTGATGCTGAACAAACATTGAACAAAAAGATAGATCCTGCCCCACAGAACTTACACCAGATGGGAAATACAAAGAAACAGGGAAGCCATATTGGTTAGCATGATAAGTACTAGTCTGAGGAACACTTGTGGCCTCAATATTGTCAGGTTTCTTTATAGGCACCAGTGGATTATGGGGTAGCTTTGCAGATGTTTATAGAAAGCTTTCTCTGCGGCATGGAGAAATATCTTTGGAGCAGTAATCAGAAGGGATATAAATAGGGCAAGTTAACCCACTGAGGCTCTAATTCTGTAAAAATGTACATACATCCTCCACTTTAATGCTGAGGAGTCCCATTTCTGGGAGCAAAGTAAAAGCATGTGTGTAAGAACATTTGCAGGATCAGGGCCCAAGCTTTTAATTAGCTAAAACATTTCTCTGACAGTACAATGCCAGGTCTACACTAAGCCCAGAAGGTTATCTTAGAGTACACAACTTCAGCTACATAAATAACATAGCTCCTCATGAATCAAGTACTTACTCATGAATTGAGGCACGCCGGCACCGACCCAGGGTGCCTTTAGCATTCAATTTAGCAAGTCCTTACTACACTTGCTAAATCAAATGCCAGAAGATCAATCTTCAGTGTGGTAAGTATAGATGTAGCCCAAGATTCTCACACTCTGAGACTACATCTACACTACAGCCCAAATTGGTGCTCTGAGATCAATCCATTGGCAGTTGATTTAGCTGATCTAGTTAAGACACACTAAATCAACCACAGAACACGGTCTCAACCCTGTTACTGTACCTTGGACAAGAAGAGGAAAGAAACTTTGATCTCTAACAGCATACAAACTGCAGTGACTTGACTTAAGGTTATTCACATAGCTGGAGTTGCATAGTGCAAGTCGACTTTCTGTTGTATTCGTAGCCTGAAATAGCAAATGCAACAAAAAGGTTCTAAAGTTGTCTTTAGGTCATCTAAAGGTTCAGATGTTGTCTACTACCAAAATTGACCCTAATAGAATATGATCCAGCAAATGAAACTTGTGAATTGCATAGTTTTGCTTACAATTAGGCTGTGTCTAGACTACAAAGAAAAGTCGGAAAAAGATATGCAAATTGCGGTTTGCAATTTGCTATCTTTTTCCACTTTTCTTCCGAAAGAGGCTTTTCCAACATTTAGCCCATCTACACTGGGCCAAATGTCAGAAAAAAGCCTCTTTCAGAACATCCTTTATTCCTCATAGAACAAGGTTTACAGGGATGCTGAAAAAATGTGTCTGCTTTTCGGAAATATTTTTGGAAAAGCAGATGAAAAACTTTGCTGTCTAGATGTACCCTTAGTCTGTGTTTCCCAAGACCATACTAAAATTGGCCATATTCTGCCCTAACTTATATAGGGTGAAAACTCAGTCTGGTCCTGGAGGAACAGACAGTGCATATACGAGCAGAATTTGGTTGTTCTCTGTTGATTGCCTATCAGTCCCATCTTTCTTGTCTCAGGCTACATTTACAACAGAAAATTGGCTTCTGCAACTTGATACGTGAATAACATAGCTGAAGCCAATGTACCTTGAGTTAGTGTAGGCACTACACTGTGGGGAGTTGACAGGAGACTCTCTCAAGTTCCCTCAAGCTTCTCATCTGGGGGAGAGTAACAGGGTCGATAGAAGAGTGATCTGTGGTCAACTTGGTGGGTTTTAACTAGACCCACTAGTTTGACTGCCAGTGGATTAATCTCAGAGCGTTGATCCAGACTATAGTGCAGAGATGGCCTCAGTCTTTTACATTGCAGTTAATCTGTACACAAGGCTTGCTGCAGAAAGGGTGCTATTTGCAAGGTTATACTGGCTGCCTATATAACCCACAGGTCATGTATATGAAGTAAATACCCTGCTGTCTAAACAGAAGGTCAGATGTAAATGAAACAAGCTAGAAGCATACAGAGCATGAGGAGAGTGTTCACAGTGAGGAATGCTAAAATGACAGTCATTCCAGGGTTTCTAGGCCTATGGTAGAGCTGATATATTGGCAATGACCCTGGCCAAAGATTGATTAACCTCTTAGGTTCCTTCTTGGCCTGCAAGGTTCTACAAAGTTACTACAAAGTTCATGGATCAAAAACATAACACTACAAAGTCAACTTTTCAAATTAGGAACATTGCTGTAAAATTCTCAAAAGCATCCAACTCAATGACTTCCAACAGGTCCTGGGCTACTGAGTCACTTAGGTGCTTTTGAAGTGCTTGAATAATATATAGCAGGCCCCATTCTCAAAGATCTACTTTTTTTTATAAATGATAGTTTAGGAATTCAACCCACATTTCACTTAAAGGCTTGCTCCTATAACTTCTATATATATGGGATGCCTGTCTGCTAACAGGAACTAGCTTCAGATTCAGCCCCTAGCATTGCAGAGTCGAGAATTTGGAGAGAAAATAAAACTTAACATTAGGATTTGAGGTTTTAAAATTTTTATTTCAGTAAAATAAACACCATCCAGTTTCAAACAAATTATATTAATGTAGCTGTTAACATTTTATTTTATTAAAACAAGTGGTGTAGTTGTATATGAGTTGCTTAATGGTATTCTGGTTCTGAAGTTCATAGCATAAATAAAATCTTTGTCAATATCATAAAATAACTTAGTATATCTTAGCATAAAACCTTGAGCATAAACATCCCAAAATACAATAAATTTTTTTAAAAAAAGTTTTAATTAACCTTTTTGCTCTTTCATATTAAAGGTGTTTTAAACCAGAAACTACTAGTTGCAGTTTTAAAACTTCATGTTTGGTGCACTTCGAAAGTAACTCAACTGTGCAGCTTCTTAAATCTTCCTACATGGTTTTTAGTTCCTTTAGTGACATTTGCTTATAACTCTTTCAACACAGGTTCTGTTTTCATTCCCATGACTTTGCAGCCATAAAGTTAACTTCCTTCAGCCCTACACACCATGTTGTTCAATCTCAGTCTACCCATTTGACATCAGTTGTTTGTAATCCTTGCATCAGGTATAGGGATTTATTTCCTGACCAACCACTAAAGTATTTCAAAATTTCAGTGCAATTTTGTTCAATTAGTTTTCATCCAAATGCCATCACCGCTCAGGGAGATTAATCACTGGGACCCACTGATCCATGTAGCGACTTTCCCGGCAAAAGCAAATCAGCTGACTCAATGCTGGATCCTTCCATTGAGATGCATGGGGATTCTGGGGGGGAAAAAAAAAAAAAAAGCTTTTTAAAACAAAACTGAATGGTCTTAAAATCACTAATGCAAAAAGATGGTGCTACTAACTAATATACAACTAATATCCAAATGCAAAGCTGGGCTGGATCTTTCTCCTGATTTTAATTTGATACAAATAATTTAAAATCCTTTAGAGGTTTCTTGAAATCCTCTGGTATATACATGACTACACTGATAGGGATTCTTTTTAGTGTTCATGATACCGCATACACACACGTTCATAATCTGGTATATTTGAAACAATATTATATAGAGTAGGCCACAATTCCCATAGATTTCTGTCAGAGGTTCATGACAGTGTCAGGATATTGTAGAGCAGTTGTGGAAAATAGCTTCAAGAACATTACACTGCTCCTATGCTACCGCATCTAAACCTATAATCCAGAAATACAAAACAAACAGGTGGAACACTGCTTCAGATTACTTTTATAACTCTTGTGCAGTATTGCACATAATGGGAATAATGAACATGTGTTTTGAGAATTATTTTGTATAGGGAAAAATATTGAAATAGGAGTTGCATGCACGTAAATTTACTCCACTTTTTAAGCAGAAAATTCTCTACCCTTTTTCCTGCTGTCTCGAAAGAGCAGGTAGATCATAGTTGAGTAATTACCTTATTTTTCTCCAGAGAAATTTACATGGTAGCTTTTGAGCATGGGTTAGAATTAAGAAATTATTACCAAAGTATTCAACCTTGCTGGAACTTTAAATGAAAAAATTCTTCTCACTCTAAAATCAACTACTCTGCACTATCTAATCTCTACTCTGAGCCAATTTGTAATAAGGAAAGAAAAATACAGGAGGCTGCTGCTGACAGGATCTAACATGTTTGAACATGTCCATAGCGGGAAGATCTTTTATGATCAAATCAGGAACAGCTCCGGTGCAATGACCTTAGTACAGGAAATAAAGTAGGGAAAAGGGCAGGATGGGTCTGATCCAAGTTCCAGGTCTGAGCACTCTCTCATCTGGGGGTGGCAAGTGTAAATTCAAACCCAGATTTGATTTATCTCAACAGCGAAGCCCATTGTAATAATGTGAGGAATAGGCCTCAGAGAGCCAGCCAAGCAGCAATAAGGGAATTCTGTGCCAGCCAGTCTTTTGTGCTCCTGTTATGGGGGAGGGAAAATGGAATTGTCACTTACTGTGACAAGCACACAGTGCAGGTCTGCAGGCTGCTCAGCTCCCCCATTCGCCCCCAGAAGCAGCAGCTCTGCCAACCGGCCTGGGTTGCTCACTCGCAGGATGTTAATGTCATTCTCACAGCAGAAAGCCTGGATCAAGGTGAAGTGGATTTGCAAAGCAACATCCCGATCATCCTCCTCGTCTGCAGCTAGCAAACAAAGCACCACATTATCCGGATCCCTGCAAGGGAAGAAACAACACAGACCGATTAGTCACAATGAATGCCCAATGTCATGTTTAACACGGACACACGCCAATGAAACAATACACAATGTCACAGCTTGGACACATGCAGAAGCTACTCTGTAAGGTGGATGGGGGTGGTGGTGGTAAGCAACCAGGGGCACAGGCATGTTCACAAGGTGAGAGCTGTCTACACACAGTATCTACAGACACATCCCTAGGTGCCTGCTGGCCGTGCCCACGGGGTGTCCCCCCTCCACCCAAGCACACACAGATGCTCCCCACTCTGCCCAGGCACGGGCTGAGGTGCTCTCCCCGCAACCAGGCATGAGGCGGGGACCCGCTCGCTCCACAGGCTGGCAGGGCAGCCGGCTGTGCCCCCCTTTGCCCGGGGGGCTACCAGACAGCAGCAGGGGGCCCCAGGCCGCTCACTCACACGTTGAGCAGCTTGGCAGCCTCGTAGACGCCGATGGTGACGCTCCTCTGGGTCAGAGC